TTTTTTTGAGATGGAGTCTCACTCTGTCACCCAGGTCACCCAGGCTGGAATGCAGTGGCACAATCTTGGCTCACTGCAACCTCCACCTCCTGGGTTCAAGCAGTTCTCTGCCTCAGCCTCCTGAGTGGCTGGGATTACAGGCACCTGCCACCATGCCCGGCTAATTTTTGTATTTTTAGTGGAGACGGGGTTTCGCCATCTTGGCCAGACTGGTCTTGAACTCCTGACCTCATGATCCACCCACCTTGGCTTCCCAAAGTGCTGGGATTACAGGTGTGAGCCACTGCACCTGGCCTCCTTTCTGATTTTTTTAATAGAATATGGGGGTATGCATGAAGAATGTTCATATAATTCTTTGAGCATTTATGTGTTCCTTTCTGATTTTTTAAATGAGTAAGTCCATATATCTGACCCATGTAGATCCTGGATCCTTTCTCATCATAGGAGTATCTTCTGGGTGAAATACGTTTTATTAATGAGGAGAGGAAATAAGGAAGACAAAACAGGATGTAAGCGCTAGGATAAAGGAACTGAGTCACTTGTCCTCTTAACCTTTCCACAGATGGTAACTGGAACCAAATGATTGGAGAGGAAACCTCTGAATGGATCCATTTACTTTTGCTTTAATTTTATAACCTTTTATTATTTCAGAAATGATCATGAGACACGATCTTGTTTCTAAATAGTATTGGAAATGATAGTAACAATGGTTGTCCTCCTTAAATTATCCTTTTAGATATTAAGAAATTCAGTGTAGATGAAAGCAATTTTAATCTAGGATCCAAATTTCAGAAGTCAAGAATTATAGCTAAACATGGATGTTAAAGTTTAAAGTATTCTTTACATGACTTTTGGTCTTTTAAGTGAAGCTTTTTTTTTCTTTATAGTAATTTTCCTCATCTTGTACTGGAGAAAATTCTTGTGAGTCTGACTATGAAAAACTGCAAAGCTGCAATGAATTTTTTCCAAAGTGTGCCAGAATGGTATGTTTTCTAATATTGTTCTTTGTCATTTTAAGATATAGCTTTAATTACAAAGATAATAATTTTAGCTGGGCAGTAGTTGCATCTTAATAATTTATAAACTAAATTGGTCCCAAAAAATCACAACTGTTAGCCAGGGAAAAGGTTGTTTTAATTCAGTAATTGTAATCTATGTTCTATAACATCAGACGAAGGTTACTATTTTTTAATGCTGTATAGTATGTGACAAGTGCCAGTGGGAAAAATTGAATGGTTATACTGGGAAATTAAGAATATAAAATTTATTTGAAATAAGTTCTTAAAGGTGCGACCCATTTCTGTACATCAACTGTGATTTGACTGTTAGCTTTAAAAACTAATGATAATTGAAAACAAAAAATTAATCTAAACCTGATTTTAGTTGATTGACTCAAAAGACTTAGGTTGTATTACTGTGACTGAAAATGACTCACTGTCACAAAGATTCCTTATCTCCCTCAAGAGGGCAAAAGATGAAAAAAATTTTTACTTTTTGGAGAAATTGATGGTGAAAAACAAACACTAACCACAATAATGAAAGTTTCACTGCAAGATCATTACTTTGCTAACCAAAAGGATGCATAACTGCTTAACCATACCAGATGTTAAAGGTTTTTAAACTTATGCTTGTTACTCCCTCTGCTTGGTGAAAAAACAGATATGTTTTCAGACAGTGTTATGCTCAACATTTATATATGGTGTTTTAAAAGACACTTTCTGAATTTGCCTTTGAAATTGTAACTTGTGGAGGAGTAGGCCTGCATCCTGCTGGGCCGGGACAGCTCTGCTACTCGCAGCCACCTCAGTGGCTGCCTCCACAGCCACTTCCGGAGGGATCTGGCTGAGGAGGAAGTGGAGGTGTCACTGGCCTCGGCCTTTGCCCCAATCCTCTGTGGGCACTGAAGGGGGACTACAGGTTCGACAGTTATGGGTGCTACATGTGTGCATTCAGAGCAGTAGTGTGCGGAAGCTTGGAGTGGGATGGCAGGACAGCCTCATCCCTATGACAGTAACTCCAGTGATCCAGAGAATTGGGATCAGAAATTGCATAGCAGACCTTGTAAACTTTATAAACATTCAAGTATTTCCTCACGTGTTGCTAAATGAGGAGTTGACCATACCAAAATGAGTTTACATGGTGCTAGTGGGGGACATGAAAGATCAAGAGACAGACGAAGGGCAAGTGACAGATCACGAGATTCATCCCATGAAAAACAGAGTCTCAGCTCACTCCTTGTATTAGAAATCTGACTTCTCCTACACAACAGCACCACGTTGAACGAGAAAAAGATCACAGTTCCTCTCGTCCAAGCAGTCCACATCTTCAGAGCACCCCCAAATTGTTCCATTAGCAGTACTGGGAACAGCAGCAGAAACAGTAGTCGGTCAAGTTCAGATGGTAGTTGTAAGACATCTGGGGAGATGGTGTTTGTATATGAAAATGCAAAAGGAGGAGCTCGGAATATAAGAAAGTCAGAATGAGTGACACTAATAGTGGATAACACTAGATTTGTTGTAGACTCATCCATTTTTACTGCACAGCCAAATACAATGTTGGGCAGGATGTTTGGATCTGGCAGAGAACATAACTTTACATGACCCAATGAGAAAAGAGAGTATCAGGTGGCAGAGGGAATTGGTTCCACTGTGTTTCGAGCTATTCTGGATTACTATAAAACAGGAATATTCCGTTGTCCTGATGGCATATCTATTCCCTATCTTTGTGTCTGTTTTGAATATAGTACTATTAAATGTAGAGATCTCAGTACCCTAATGCATGAGTTATCAAATGATGGTGCTCAAGGACAATTGGAATTTTATCTGGAAATGATCCTCCCTTTCATGGTAGCTGGTGCCCTGAGGGGGGAACAGGAATGTCATATAGTGGTGCTTACAGATGATGTGGTTAATTGAGATGAAGAATATCCACCACAGATGGGAGAAGAATATTCACAAATTATTTATAGCACAAAATTATATAGATTTTTCAAGTACATTGAAAACAGAGATGTGGCCAAGTCAGTTTTGAAGGAGAGGGGTCTTAAGAAGATTAGATTGGGAATAGAAGGTTATCCTACCTACAAAAGAAAAAATGAAGAAAAGGCCTGTAGGCCACCCAGAAATGATCTACAACTATGTCCAAAGACCCTTTATTTGAATGTCCCAGGAGAAGGAAGAAGAAAAGAGTCGGCTTGTAGACTTTCAGTGTGTAAAGAGTAAATCTATCACCAACCTTGCAGCAGCTGCGGCAGACATTCCCCAAGACTAGCTGGTAGTGATGCACCCAACTCTGCAAGTGGATGAGCTGGACATTCTCCCCATCCATCCCCCTTCTGGCAACAATGACCTTGATCCTGATGCACAGAATCCAATGCTGTGATGCTGATGTTCCTTGAAACCATAGCATGCTACTCTTCACAGTGACGTTGTACTCTCCTCATTCTGCACTGCAAGGCCACTCTTCATTGTGAGATGCACATAACAATGTTTAGGATATTGCAGTGTAGGATTTTTTAAAGACCAAAGGTAGCTGAATGGTTTTTTTTTAAATGAATACAACTCTGTCATCTTGAAGTTCCAGTTATATAAATGTATTTGTTTACCAGTAGATTTGTGAAATTGTTTCTTTGTATGAGGGTTGGTCCTTTTTCACACATCTAGTTCTTTTCGAAAGTGGTGGAAATTGGCAGCTGGGATACTTTCAGTTTGGATTGATAATCATCACACCCCAGATAAAATGCAGAATATTATATAGTTGCACTCTATAAATGGTGGTTAAATGGAAATGTTCAAGCCATTTTATAGTTGTGATGCACAATATAACTTAAGTAAGTGCTTCTGTCAAAGTAATCCTTCAGTAAAATTTGTATAGTTTGCTGCCCTTGATGAGCAGAAAGTATTTATCTTGGGCTTATCTAAATGATCAGAATGAGATTTAATGCCCGTATCACATCAGTTCAGTTATCTCCAGTCCCGGTTCACCCTTTGGAGTGAGACACATGCAGGGAGTATGAATGTCAGAGGTGGCTTATTATCCAGTCTGCCTTATCCTTAATCTGTCACAGATATTTATTTACTGATGCTTTTTTTCTTAAGCGTTATGAGATAGGAAAATGAAGTGTTTGCTCTTCATTTACTAAATGATTATAAACTCGAGTTTTTCATCAAAATAAAATTCCATTGTCTTTTTTTTTTTTAAAAAAATGTAACTTGTATTTCTTTTGTCTATTAGTAAAATTGCTACTGACTAATGAAAGTTGATACGAGTAGGTTTCAAAGTCCAAAGAAGAGAAGCGTTTAAAGAATAATCTATTAATTGTATAAGTAGTCTTTGAATGATGTAGATATTGTGTTAATGTTTTCCTTTGTAATATATTGCTAATATATAGAGGCGAAGCATTAGGTCGTTTGTTCATAAAGATCTTACTTTCTTGAAGTGAACAACACCAAAAAGATAAAGAAGAACCTTCATTTTCAGAAGTAGAAGAACTGTTTCTTCAGACAACTTTTGACAAGATGGACTTTTTAACCACTGTGAGAGAATGTGCTACAGAAAAGCACCAATCCAGTATTGGCTTTTCTGTCCACCAGAATCTCAAGGAATCACTGGTTCGCTATCTTCTGGGATTATCAGAACAGCTTCTAAATAATTATTCATCTGAGGTGAGATTTAAAAAAAAAAAAAAGAACTAAGCTTATATATATTCAACTTTGGTAAACCGTTAGGGAGGAGAAATAGGGGCAGGGAAAACACCAAGGATGGTGGGAGGCTTGGTTTTAAAAGCAAAATGGCACTAAAGGGCTACAAATTGGGACAACTTAGCATAATTAAAGGAAAACTCAAGAATAATAATTTGAGTACTTCCTTTGTGCTGGGAATTATGGTAGACATTAAAAAATTCCTTGTGTAGGATAGTGGGGAATAGTAAGAGTTTGAGCATAGGGATTATATGATGAAAAAAACCTCTGAATACAAAGGAGGGAGATGTTACAGTAATAGAAAAGAACACAATTTAAACAAATCTAATAGATTTTGGTGGTATATGAAGAGGGACGAGGGACTAGTAAAGACAATAAATGGGCTAGCGATTATTTTAGACGTCATCTAGGAATTTCCTTTAGCCTCATAAAATCACAAATTCTCTTCACGTATGCTGTTTTCTTGCCAAAACTCCCATTTTTAAAAATGTGAAATGTCTACCTATTTCTGTGTATTCAGATCATCCACATGTGAAAATCCTTCCTAATACCTTTCTTAGAATCTCAGAAAGTGAGATTCTAAGAATTTTTCTTTTTGAGACGAAGTCTCGCTCCGTTGCCCAGGCTGGAGTGCAGTGGTGTCACCTTGGCTCACTGCAGCCTCCGCCCTCTGGCTCAAGCAGTTCTCCTGCTTCAGGTTTCTGAATAGCTGGTACTACAGGCATGTGCTGCCATGCCCAGCTAATTTTTGTATTTTTAGTAGAGACGGGGTTTTGCCATGTTGGCCAGGCTGGTCTTAAACTCCTGACCTCAGGTGACTGGTCTGCCTTGGCATCCCAAAGTGCTAGGATTATAGGTGTGAGCCACTGTGCCTGGCCTAATAATTTTTCATCTTTTAATTTTATAGTACTTAATATTTCACATTTTTAATGGCAGTTAGCATTTTCTTTATACCATGGATATTTACATATGGTTTGTATACAAATATCTCTTGAACTATCACATACACTCTTTTGTTTTGTTTTGTTTTGTTTTGTTTTGTTTTGAGATGGAGTCTCGCTCACTCACCCAGGCTGGAGTGCAATGGCGCGATCCTGGCTCATTGCAACCTTCTCCTCCCGGGTTCAAGCGATTCTCCTGCTTCAGTCTCCCAAGTAGCTGGGACTACAGGCGTCCATCACCATGCCTGACTAATTTTTATATTTTTAGTAGAGTCAGGGTTTTACCATGTTGGCCAGGCTGATCTCAAACTCCTGACCTTGTGATCCGCCCGCCTTGGCCTCCCAGAGTGCTGGGATTACAGGCATGAGCCACGGCGCCCAGCCCATATAAGCTCTGAAAAGGGCATACATATTTTTATTAATCTTTGTATCCTCCACAGTGCCTTGTTACATGGTAAATGATTAAGTGAAATAAAGCCTGCAATCTCTTCAAAGGAGTGAATTCAGTAGCCAGGGAAAATGACCTGAGGACCTGGGAAGGGACAGTGTGCCTCTTTCTGATCTTTTGCTGACATTCTTCTGCACCACAATTGTAACCACTTTCAAGTAATTTAGTTTTGTGTATTTTCTCCTAGAATGCCATTTCTTACCCTGTGGGAACAAAAAATCAGAACATCTTGTGTGTAACTTAGCAGATTCTTATGTAATTCTCTAAAATTGTCTAAACTGTTTTTTGGGATGGAGTCTCACTGTTGCCCAGGCTGGAGTGCAGTGGTACGATCTCAGCTCACTGCAACCTCTGCCTCCTGGGTTCAAGCAATTTTTCTGCCTCAGCATCCTGAGTAGCTGGTATTATAGGCACCTGCCGTCACTCCTGGTTAATTTCTTGCGTTTTTAGTAGAGACACTGTTTCACCACGTTGGCCAGGTTGGTTTTGAACTCCTAACCTCAGGTGATCCTCCTGCCTCGGCCTCCCAAAATGTTGGGATTACAGGCATGAGCTACTGTGCCCAGCCAGCTGTCTAAACTTTATCTACTAGAAAAAATGTTTTATGCTAGTCTGTGGGGTCAAAAAGCTGAGTAAGTCAAGGTTCCTTTTCCTCAGAAGCTTAAAATATCATTTTAATGTTTCTTTATATGACTAATTTTTACTCATGTTCTAGGACTTATAGTCATTTATTTGCCTATCAACTTTTTTTCTTTTCTTTCATCCCTACCTCAAATATTTAACAGCCTATGTGTACAGTACACTTTACACCCTAAGATGATATATTCTGTATGGCCATTAGGAGATATTTAGGCTGTTTTTTCTTGAGAATCCTAGTTATAATTCTACAGTGATCTCCTAGTTGTTTTTTGGAGATATTCAGAATATGCCACCTTTAACTCAGTTAACTGAACTTTTGTTTTTTAATATGTAGAATTTGCTCTTATAAAAGATAATTATAGAATATATAGAATTATTTATGAAATACATATATTTTATTTGTGGTTTGCTTTAAGATTACAAATTCAGAAGTGCTTGTCCGGTGTTCAAGTCTTTTGGTGGGTGTCCTTGGCTGCTACTGCTATATGGGTGTAATAACTGAAGAGGAAGCATATAAGTCAGAATTATTCCAGAAAGCCAAGGTAGGAGAATTTATGCTAATAAAGTTTCTGATAAATTTGAATGAAATGTATTCCTGAGAAAATTATTACATTTGTTTGGAAGACATTAAATTTTATGTAGGTTAACCCTTTCTCTTTAAATTATGTAATATGAGAAGAAATTATACTGTGTATTTTTAAAACTTGAAATTACTATAAGCCAACTATAAATAATAGTAAATGAAAAAATATCACATTAAAATCTAATCTCATTAAAATATTGATTTTGCCTACTTTTTTTTATTTTTATTTTTTTAAGAGATAGTCTCGCTCTCTGTAGCCCAGGCTGAAGTGCAGTGGTGTGATCTTGGCTCACTGCAGCCTCTGCCTCCTGGTTGCCGGTTCAAGCAATTCTCCTACCTCAGCCTCCCAACTATCTGGGATTGCAGGCACGAGCCACCATGCCCAGCTAATTTTTGTATTTTTTAGTAGAGATGGAGTTTCACCATGTTGGCCAGTCTGGTTGTGAACTCCTGACCTCGTGATCCACCTGCCTTGGCCTCCCAAAGTGCTGGGATTACAGGCATGAGCCACCGCGCCCGGCCTGTCTGTCCTTTTTAAAGTTTTCCCTGTGATCAGTTATATTGAAGAATCTTCGATTAAGGGTATTAATCAAGTAGGCTGTAAGCATGAAACTCTGATCTCTTGGTAGTACTAATTGTTAATGATTTTTACTTATACTAGATGACTACATGGAACTTCCAAAAACATTTCATTTTTTCTGTTCACTTTATTTTTTATTTTATAGGGTATGTCCAAGATCAAAGTGTACTTTTAAAAGCAATACTAAACTGTAATTTTAACTGGAATTTGCATTTTTCCTTCTATTTGTAATAGTCTCTAATGCAATGTGCAGGAGAAAGTATCACTCTGTTTAAAAATAAGACAAATGAAGAATTCAGAATTGGTTCCTTGAGAAATATGATGTATCTATGTACACGTTCCTTGAGCAACTGTACCAAGGTAAGATGATTTTCTTGTTTTGTTTTTTGAGATAGGATCTTTCTCTGTCACCCAGGCTGGAGTGCAGTGGCATTGTCACAACTCAAAGTAGCTTGACCTCCTGGTTTCAAGCAATTCTCCTGCCTCAAGGTCTTGAGTAATTGGGACTACAGTTAGGTACCATCTAGCTAAAATTCTCTTTTTACTTGGTAGTATAGTTTATGCAGGGGATTGATTACTGGTTGGTGTTACTGTTTTGGTGTCCACTCATAAGTTTGTTTTTTACTTTATTTTTATTCTTTTTTTTTTTAAAGACAGTCCCTTGCTCTTTCACCAGGGCTAGATTGCAGTGATGTGATCACAGCTCACAGCAGCTACGACCTCCTGGGCTCAAGTGATCCTCCCACGTCAGTCTCCCTAGTAGCTGGGACTACAGGTGTATACTATCATGCCTGGCTGATTTTTGTATTGTTTGTATTGACGGGGTTTTACACATTGTCCACGCTAGTCTCAAACCCTGGGCTCAAGTGATCCTTCCACTGCAGCATCTCAAAGTGCTGTGATTACAGGTGTGAGCTACCATATTTGACCACATTCATAAGTTTACAAACTGATTTAAAATTAAATTGAATGGTATATAAAGGTAATATCCAGATGAATAAGCAATAGGAATTTGAGTTTCTCATGAAACTAATTTTATAATTTCAGAAAGTCTTCTGAGATTGTCTTACCACTTCTGTATACAACCATGTAGATGATTCTTTTATTCCCAGCACATTTCATTCATTTAATAAAAATCTGTTGACTCAAACTTTGTGGTATGCATAGCAGGGCTAGGGAGCAGCACAACGATAACTCTAGCACATACTTTACTTTTTTTGCTCAGATTATCTTACATAACATTTGATAGAAAGAGTGCTACTGTGTGTAATCTTTGTTTTTATCTGCAGCAGGCCCGTGAGGTAGCCAAGCCAGTCCCCAGAGTATTGATAATAATTGGAAATATATATGAAACCTAATATTACGTACATGGCTGTATATCAATATTATCAACATACTTTTTGTTTTGTAACGTGTTTTTCCTCCCTTTTGGTGTAAGTGGGAAAGGAGAAAAGCAGAAGAATAAATTCTAACCTATAATTACAGCCTAATTATGTTTAGAGTCAATAGCTGTTACTTTAATGCCGTTAAAGCATAATGAAAGATGTACAGTATAGTAACGATTACGCTAAGGAAAGATGTGTTTTGGAAGCTGCGTATATCGTGGTCCTAATAGTAAACCATTTATCTACATTTCATTCAAGATAGAGAAAACATTGTCTGCCAAGAATAACTGTTTTTATTTCTTTGTTGCTTGGTTCTTTGTCTTAATTAAAGAAGAGTCCAAGTAAGATTGCATCTGGCTTTTTCCTGCGATTGTTAACATCAAAACTAATGAATGACATTGCAGATATTTGTAAAACTTTAGTAAGTATGCTTCCTATTTTGCTATCATATTTCCATTCTAATATGCTTAATTTTTTGGTTGAAATATCTTTGTAAATAGGGATGCATCTGAAAACATATAACATCTTACATTTTTATAAATGTGGAAATTAAATAGTTGTTTGTCTTGTAGGGAAATATACCTGATTGCTTCTTAATATCAATACCTACCATAGTGAGTGCCTGCCTTCAGTTTCTCAATAAATAATATACTGAATGATTGGGAACTAATCATCCAAGCTTATACCTATTGCTATGCAACACTGTACCAAAATTCAAAATAATTACTTGTTCTTTAAAAGTGACCAAAAATCTTGCCAGACAAGCAACATATTCTTATTGTAGTATTTATTTTTCTTCTATACAAATGGGCTTATGCCACATACATTTTTTTGTCTGAACCATTGCTGGCCATACAAAGTAGATATTGAAATATCCCGAGTGAAAACATATTCTATAACTTGCTTATTTCCATTTTATGACACATCTTAATCATTTTCCATGTCACTGTACTTATTTTATAAGCTGTCTGCCGTTATACTTTAATTAGCAGTGCATGGTATTCGATTGTGTGGTAATAGTGAATAGTATGTATGTATATAAAAGCCCATCTGCTCCTTTTATTTATTTATTTATTTATTTTTGAGATGGAGTCTCACTGTGTTGCCTAGGCTGGAGTTCAGTGGCACAATCTCAGCTCACTACAGCCTCTGCCTCCCAGTTTCAAGAGATTCTCCTGGCCAGGCGCGGTGGCTCAAGCCTGTAATCCCAGCACTTTGGGAGGCTGAGGCGGGTGGATCACGAGGTCAAGAGATCGAGACCATCCTGGTCAACATGGTGAAACACCATCTCTACTAAAAATACAAAAAATTAGCTGGGCATGGTGGTGCGTGCCTGTAATCCCAGCTACTCAGGAGGCTGAGGCAGGAGAATTGCCTGAACCCAGGAGGCGGAAGTTGCGGTGAGCCGAGATCGCGCCATTGCACTCCAGCCTGGGTAACATGAGTGAAACTCCGTCTCAAGAAAAAAAAAAAAAAAGAGATTCTCCTGCCTCAGCCTCCTGAGAAGCTGAGATTATGGATGTGTGCCACCACGCCTGGCTAATTTTTGTGTTTTTAATAGAGACAGGGTTTTACCATGTTGGCCAGGCTGGTCTCGAACTCTTGACCTCAAGTGATCCGCCTAGGCCCCCCAAATTACTGGGATTACAGGTGTGAGCCACTGTGCCTATGGTCCTGCAAGAAGCTATCTTGAACATCTTTGTTTCTCTTCCTTGAAGGCATTCATAATCAAAAAGCCATTTGACCATGGAGATATAGAATCAATGGAAGATGATGCTAATGGAAATCTAATGGAGGTGGAGGATCAGTCATCCTTGAATCTATTTAATGATTACCCTGATAGTAGTGTTAGTGATGCAAACGAACCTGGAGAGAGCCAAAGTACCATAGGTAAATACATATTTACTGCTTGGGATTTCTTTTACCTCTTTATATTAATTTGGCAGTATAAGAGTCCTCATTGATATCAATGTTATGCTTATTTCATTTTCCCTTAGTCTAGCCTTTTAGGATTATTCCTATATACTTCAAATTTTTCTGATTTTTACTCAAATTTATTAGTTTCCTATTTTATTCTTCATAGGAGGAACTTAAGATAACTATTAAAGGAATAAAACCATATGACAGGTTGTTTGGACAATAGAAAGCAGGAAATGAAAACTCACCCATCATACCTTTGCTTTTAACCTTTCTCTGTTATTTCTTTACAGAGCCTTTCAAAATTGTAATCAACTTCAACATTCACATACGTTATTAATGTCTGTTTAATATTAATTATAAGTATTTTTTCCACGTAGTTGCTTGTCTTGATAGTCATACTTTTTAATGGCTTCACCATTTTTCAATCACAAAAAACCGTAATTTACTTGACATTTTTTATTGTCAGAAATTTAGATTATAATGTATTTTCCTATAATAAACATTATTGCAGTGATCGTTTGTCTAAAGGGTTTTTCCCCCCATATTTTAAATTATTTCTTGACAACAGAATCCTGGATAATTTTTTAAAAAGACTTTTAAAGCTTTTAGTATATAATTAATTTTACTATAATTCTGTTTTTCATATACTTTTTTTTGTAAAGAGGAGGACATTTGAGTTAATATTAATATATATGGCTTTTGTGCCCCTCTCTTAATGAGTGCTTTTTATTTTTAGGTGCCATTAATCCTTTAGCTGAAGAATATCTGTCAAAGCAAGATCTACTCTTCTTAGACATGCTCAAGTTCTTGTGTTTATGTGTAACTACTGTTCAGACCAACACTGTGTCCTTTAGGGCAGCTGATATTCGGAGGAAATTGTTAATGTTAATTGATTCTAGCACACTAGACCCTACAAAATCTCTCCACTTGCATATGGTGAGTTACATTAAATGAACAAGCTGTTGGATTTTATCTGATGTTGCTGACTAAATGTAAAGAGTTACAAGTAAGAATCACATGCTGTCTTTGAAGAATTGAAATTGCTCTCTTGAGAAATGAACCTGAGACTAGTTAGAAAATAACATTTTTTCTTTTAATGTGCTGTGAACAAATTTAAGAAGATGCTGAAATGTTAAAACTTAGATGGGTATTGGATAGATTTATTCTCTTTAGGTTTAATTAATTATTATATATTATTTTAATTAGGCTAAGAAACATAGACCCCGAATGTAAACAATACGTAGCATTGTGTTTGAAGCTGGAATATTGTTTTTACCTTAGTTTATATATTTTCAGTTTTTTGGATTTGATTTCAAAATGATACAAGAATACTACAGAATACTTCCATATACTCTTGATAAGCTTTTACAGTTAACATGTTAACACTCTTGCCTAATATTCCCTCTCTCCACATATACTCACACACAGATACTCACATTATTTTCTCTGAACCATTTTGAGATGAACTTGCACACATGATGCTCCTTGTACTTCAGGGTACATTTCCTAAAAACAAGGGTACACTTCTTTTTAGCCACAGTATAATCCTCAAAATCAGGAAGTTAACATTTTGTCATTGCATTTAGGTGCGTAGTCTGTTTAGTCTCCTTCAATCTGGAACAGTTCTTTTCTTACTTAATATGACCTTCATGTATTTGAATAGTACAGGTCCACTGCTCTGAGTTTGTCTATTTCCTCATGATTAGATTTATACTTTGATGAGAATGTTACAAAAGTAATTCCTCTTTTGCCTTTACCCTGTCCATTTATCTGCATGTTGATATCTTCAAATTCAATCCAGTATCACACAGTTTATCTTTTTTACTGTCCAAATTTATAAATTTCTTTTTTTCTTTGAGATGGAGTTTCACCCTTGTTGCCCAGGCTGGAGTACAGCGGCGTGATCTCAGCTCACAGCAACCTCCACCTTCTGGGTTCAAGTGCTCCTCCTGCCTCAGCCTCCCAAGTAGCTGGGATTACAGGCATGCGCCACCATGCCCAGCTAATTTTGTATTTTTTAGTAGAGACGAGATTTCACCATATTGGTCAGGCTGGTATTGACCTCCCGACCTCAGGTGATTTGCCCGCCTCGGCCTCCCAAAGTGCTGGGATTATAGGTGTGAGCCACCGAATTCGGCCTAAATTTATAAATTTCTTTACTTGCAGTTAAAAAACACCCCAAAACTGGCTGTCCCCTCGACCTGAATACATTTACTTATTTGCCCAACAACCTTATGTATAACTAATCTCCCGATGATGTGGGCCATTTTCTTAGCCTTAGCCCAGGCGTAGGTGGAGGCGGAGCTCTGGCCTAGTGAGTAGCAAGATGGGTCCTAGGTCATGTCCTCAGTTCCAGCTAATTGGCAGACATGCCTGATAAGTCCCTAATTAGAACCTCTGATCAAAGTAAATTGCAGGCTGAGGCATTGGTGGAATCCCTGATCATGTGTCCCACCCTTGGCGGGCGTGCACGTCAATCCTTTACAGTGAGAAAACAAGTTTGGTTGTGCCCTGTTTGGGCCCCTGGTTTAGGTCCTGGCAGATACTCTAGTTAAGTCTCTATCCCGACCAAGAAGAAGAGTTACATGCTTTTCTTCAAGTATTGATGTTTCAAGTCACTTCAAAACATTCAGTAACCTGATGTACATGACTTTCATGTCAAATAATGAAAAGGAGCATTTAATTTTCTTTGTTAATATCTGAAAAGGAATAGGAAATATTCTACATGTAAATAGGAAAAAAAAATCCCTTATGATTTCAGTATAGCTAGAAAAGTATTTGGTAGCTCTCAGAAACTGGCTGCCTACATAATAACTACCATTATAACTGGTAGTTGCAACAGCCCTTTCTGTCCATAGTACCATAAAGAGCCTTACAATGTTGCCTTATGGGAAGATAGATCAGGGTGTTTGACTTCTTCTTTGCCTATGATTATCTCTGCTTTCTAAAATTCATTAATAGAATAGTTTTCAACCACTGGACTATTCTCCCCAAGCATTATTTTGGGAGAATGGATACTTACAGTTTCAGAATCTTGCTCAAGCTCTTAACTGCAACACACAATAGAAGCTAGACTTTTACATTTACCTTCTCTAATCCTCACAGTTATCTGGCCAGATGAGTGATATATCCCCATTTTACAGATGAGGATACAAAGGCCCTAGATGACGTGAGGCAAGTTTTTTAACCAGAAAAGTTAAGGCTTTGGTACTGGGACTTGAATTTTGCTGTTTGACTTCAAAGCCTTTTGTTTTTACTATACCCCTCTTAAAAATTTATAGCTGTATGTATGTGCATGTATGAATTTATGTTTATATACTTTTTTTTTTTTTTTTTTTTTGTTTTATTTTTTTATTATTTTTTTTTTTTTTTTTTGTTTTTTTTTTTTTTTTTTGTTTTTATTTTTTTTTTTTTTTTTTGAGATGGAGTTTTGCTCTGTTGCCCAGGCTGGAATGCAGTGGTGCGATCTTGGCTCACTGCAACCTCTACCTCCTGGGTTGAAATGTTTCTCCTGCCTCAGCATCCTGAGTAGCTGGGACTACAGACCCCCGCTACCATGCCTGGCTAATTTTTGTATTTTTAGTAGAGATGGGGTTTGACCATATTGGCCAGGCTGGTCTCAAACGCCTGACCTTGTGATCCGCCCTCCTCAGCCTCCAAACATGCTGGGATTACAGGCATGAGCCAGCCTATATTTATGTACTTTTTAACGTAAATGATTTGTGAATAAATCTGACTTTTTTCCCTCCTACCATCTTAGTATCTAATACTTTTAAAGGAGCTTCCTGGAGAAGAGTATCCCTTGCCAATGGAAGATGTTATTGAACTTCTGAAACCACTATCGTAAGAAATTAAAACCTTATGTTCACTTTAAATTTATAAAATTACTGATGTGTTCTGTTAAGCTTATAAAGTTAAACTTTTTTCATCACAGCAATGTGTGTTCTTTGTATCGTCGTGACCAAGATGTTTGTAAAACTATTTTAAACCATGTCCTTCATATAGTGAGAAACCTAGGGCAAAGCAATATGGACTCTGAGAACACAAGGGATGCTCAAGGACAGTTTCTTACAGTAATTGGAGCATTTTGGTAGGTACAGCTTATTTTGTGGTCTTATTTTTCTTTTGCTATCTGTGGATATAAATGTAAATTTTGTATCTACATCAGTGATTTCTTCTGATCTTCCTACGTAGCTAATATATGTTTTAAGAACAGCAGAATGTAATTTGTGTTTCCCTCAGTTGCTTGAAGAACTACACTGCTTTTTTTTAAGGCTTGGCTTTCTAAACTGTTTAACTCATTTCCCTGCAAATTTTGAGTCATTTAATAGTTTGACATAGATAGTGAATAAAGGAGGGATAACAAGCCAAAATCAGTTGAATTGTTCATGTTCCCAAAGTGAACAAATTGGCTTTGTCACTACCTGTTATTTTATCTATATTGTCACATTCCAAGATAACACCATGATACTTACAGAGGAACACATATATATATAATCTAGAACCCTTGTACTATTTGATTGATGAGTAATTCTAAATCAATAGAAGGTTTTTTTGTTTTTTTTGGGATGGAGTCTCACTCCATCACCCAGGCTGGAGTGCAGTGGTGCGATATGGGCTCACTGCAACCTCCGCCTACCGGGTTCAAGCAATTCTCCTACCTGAGCCTCTTGAGTTGCTATGATTACAGGTGCCTGCCACCACGCCTGGCTAATTTTTTTGCATTTTTAGTAGAGATGGGGTTTCACCATGTTGGCCAGCTGGTCTCAAACTCCTGACCTCAAGTGATCTGTCCACCTCAGCCTCCCAAAGTATTGGGATTACAGGCCTGGGCCAGTGCACCCGGCCAGAATGTGGTGTTGAAATCTTCGATATACCAAACAAAACTTTAACAAAGAAATTTATTTCTAAAGTAAATTTACTGTAATGTGGTAGGCATTCTATGGTAGCCCCCCAAAAAAGAGACATGATGGTATAAAACAAATCATTTGCACTAAAATGAATTCTTTCAAACTGTTTCTTTTAGCTTGAATTTTTGGGAAGGTGAGTATGTTGGCATATTCCATATCATGACAAATAAGTTTAGCACAGAAAGACATGTTGGAAGCAACTTATAATAACCTTGATATTCAGTGAGTTTTCTGAGTGCTTTTACTGGAATGATTATTTGACTTCAAAAAACTTACTTGATTTCAGGCATCTAACAAAGGAGAAGAAATGTACATTCTCTGTAAGAATGGCCCTAGTAGAATGCCTTAAATGTTTGCTTGAGGTGAGTTTTTTGCATTTTATTAGTAAGATCTCCACTGAAAATTTTAAAGCAGTTTTTGTTTATTAATGAGTGAATTTTCTCTATTTCATATTCAACCTCATTTCTTTTCCCATAGGCTGATCCTTATTCAAAGTGGGCTATTCTTCATGTAATGGGAGAAGACTTTCCTGTAAATGAAGTATTTACACAATTTCTTGCTGATAATCATCACCAAGTTCGCATGTTGGCTGCCCAGTCAATCAATAGGTAATAGGTCAAGTATTCGTGAAGTATTTGGAATGCTGCAGACAGCAGTAGAGTGTCTAGCACAGTAACAGCTCACAGTTGCAATATTAAAAATAACTAGCACTTATTGAGTATATATGATGTGCCTGGCATTTATGTTTTTTCATAATTCTTACACTTCTATCACTTAGATTCTATTAATTCCTTCAATTTATAAATGAAACTGTGACTTAGTGCGGTAAAGTAACTTCCTTATGCCACAGAGCTAATAAGTGGTTGACTTAAGTGTGTCTACTAACATAGGAGATATGGACCATTTGAAAATTATTGTGATTTTTATGTGAGTTTATGAAATGATAATTAGCACATTTTACATTGTGCTAATTAGACAATTATATTTACTTGAGTGAACATACAGTGTAGCCCTGGGATATTTCTATCACGAGGATCATATTTGAGTACTGGAATACACATATATTAATTTGTTTTTGTTTTTGTTTTTGTTTTGTTTTGTTTTGTTTTGTTTTGCAACAAGAGTTTTGCTCATGTCTCCCAGGCTGGATGGAGTGCAAATGGCATGATCTTGGCTCACTGCAGCCTCTGCCTCCTGGGTTCAAGCAGTTCTGCCTCATCCTCCTAAGTAGCTGGGATTACAGGCGCCTGCCACCACACCTGTCTAATTTTTGTATTTTTAGTAGAGACGGAGTTTCACCATGTAGGCCAGACTGGTCTTAAACTCCTGACCTCAGGTGATCCACCTGCCTCAGCCTCCCAAAGTGCTGGGATTACAGGCATTGTTTCTGTTTATGTGATTGATTACATTTACTGATTTGTTTATGTTGTACCAGCCTTGTATCCCAGGGATAAAACTGACTTGATCATGGTAGATAAGCTTTTTGATGTGCTGCTGGATTCGGTTTGCCAGTGTTTTATTGAGGATTTTCACATCAATGTTCATCAGGGATATTCGCCTGAAATTTTCTTTTTTTGTGTCCCTGCCAGATTTTCGTGTCAGGATGATGCTGGCCTCATAAAATGAGTTAGGGAGGATTCCCTCTTTTTCTGTTGTTTGGAATAGTTTCAGAAGGAACAGTACCAGCTCCTCTTTGTATCTCTGGTAGAATTTAGCTGTGAATCTGTCTGGTCCTGGGCTTTTCTTGGTTGGTAGGCTATTACTGCCTCCATTTCAGAACTTGTTATTAGTCTGCTTAGGGTTTCGACTTCTTCCTGGTTTTGTCTTGGGAGAGTGTATGTGTCCAGGAATTTATCCATTTCTTCTAGATTTTCTAGTTTATTTGCATAGAGGTGTTTATAGTATTCTCTGATGATAGTTTGTATTTCTGTGGGATGAGTGATGATATCCCCTTTATCATTTTTTATTGTGTCTATTTGATTCTTCTCTCTTTTCTTCTTTATTAGTCTGACTGGCAGTCTGTCTATTTTGTGAATCTTTTCAAAATATCAGCTCCTGGATTGATAGACTTTTTTGAAGGGTTTTTCATGTCTCTATCTCCTTCAGTTCTGCTCTGATCTTAGTTATTTCTTGGCTTCTGCTAGCTTTTAAATTTATTTGCTCTTGCTTCTCTAGGTCTTTTAATTGTGATGTTAGGGTGTTGATTTTAGATCTTTCCTGCTTTCTTCTGTGGGCATTTAGTGCTACAAATTTTCCTCTAAACACTGCTTTTTCATCCCAGAGATTCTGATATGTTATGTCTTTGTTCTCACTGGTTTCAAAACCTTAATTTCATTATTTTCCCAGTAGTCATTCAGGAGCAGGTTGTTCAGTTTCCCTGTAGTTGTGCGGTTTTCAGTGAGTTTCTTATGAGTTTTTTTCTATGGAAAGAAAGTTCTTGCAGCTAGCTCGGTGTCTGCCACCAGGGCCCTGGTAGTGTAGGCACCTGAGGGAATCTCTGGGTCTATGGTTGCAAAGACCATGGGAAAAGCGTAGTTTCTGGGCTGGAATTCACTGTTCCTCCGGGCACAGTCCCTCATGGCTTCCATTGGCTAGGGGAGGGAGTTCTCCAACCCCTTGCACTTCCCAGGTGAGGTCACGCCCCACCCTGCTTCACCTCACCCTCTGTGGGCTGCACCCACTGTCTAACCAGTCCCAACGAGATGAGCTGGGTACCTCGGTTGGAAATGCAGAAATCACCCAGCTTCTGCATTGATCTTGCTGGGAGCTGCAGACTGGAGCTGTTCCTATTCAGCCATTTTGCTGTTCCCTTGTTTTAATTTTCTTTAGCATTTATGATAACTTGAAACATTCTAGTTTAATATATTTACTTCTCACTATTCTACTTGTATATAAATTCCTAAAAGCACTGGTTTTTGTCTGTTCTGTTCATTGCTGTATTTTTAGTACCTAAAACTATACTTGGCATGTGATAGGTATTCAATAACTGTTTTTAAAATAATGTACTTGAAAAAAAATTACATGATCCTATAAAAACATCAAAGCTGAAAAGTCATTTGAGTAACTTTACTGTTCAAATGTAAGTGACCAATAATAAAAGATCACTATATTGTTCCAGCAGCCAAATAAAGTATTAAAACTGTTTCAGTAGTTGAATATGCTGACAGTAATGTTTTCATAAACTAGATTTTGTGTCTAACTCCTTAGGTTTGGAACTCTTTTCAGTAAGAGCTTCCATTGTAAGGATTTCTAATGAATATGTTTAGAAGTTCAAGTTCTTACTAAATATCACAGATAAAATATAGCAAATATATGCTGAACTTTAAGGACTGAGGTTATGTAAGACTGCAAATATATGCTGAACTTTAAGGACTGAGGTTATATAAGACTGAGTTGAATGTAATAAGGCAGCAGTGTAGTGTTGGCATTGAAAAAAATTGAAGATTCATAAAGTATAAATTCAAGAATGACAAATAGCATTCTTTTTTTTTTTTTAATTTTACACTTGTTAAATTTTGTCTTAGTTCATTTGTGTTGCTATAAAGGAATACCTGAGGTTGGGTATTTATAAGGAAAAGAGGTTTATTTGGCATGTGGCATCTACATCTGGTAAGGGCCTCAGACTCATGGCAGAAGGCAAAGAGGAATCAGTGTGTGCAGAGATCACATGGTGAGAGAGGAAGCAAAGGAGGGTGGGGAAGGCAGTGCCAGGCTCTTTTTTTTTTTTTTTTTTTTTTTTTAAATAACCAGCTTTTGTGGGAACTTAATAGTGAGAACTCACTTATTCCCTATGCTTAGGCCTTTATTCATGAGGGATCAGCTCCCATGACTCAGACGCCTCCCATTAGGCATAACCTAATGGGGATCAGATTTCAGCATGACATTTGGAGGGTTAAACATTCAGACGGTAGCAGATATCTGATGTTTAGCTATTTTAAAAGCAGTTAGAGAAACTAGAAGAATCAGAGGAACTTAATTATAAAAACTTTGATTACTAACAAAGGATAACAGACAAAGTCGATTAAACAGTTATCCTTAAATATGTGGCTGCTATGTAAAAGGCACACTGATGAGCCTTTTACCATCACATAAAACAAAATTTAAATGGTACATTAAAACATTAACCTACCCACTTTGAGAGTGATTAAATATTAGAGCAGGTTGACATTGGAATCTTTGGACTCAACTAATTGGTATTTGGCCAGAGAACAGCTTATCTTTTCTGGCTAGTTTGAGTTCAGTGCTGTTCAAATTTGGGCGGCAGTTAAAAGAGATTTTAAGACCCTCTTCAATTCTAGGAGAAAATAGATTTTGTATTAAAGACCTTAATACTAAGCCGCTGGTCTGAACCTCTTTAAATAAACTCAGGTTTTGTTAGTCTTTAAAAAAAGAGCTAGTATGTTATTATGTCTCACAGAGTGATTTATTTTTGTTTTGGAATATGCTTTGGATTAAACAATTATTTCACTTTTTGTTTGTTTGTTTGCTTGTTTTAAGATTATTCCAGGACACAAAACGAGATTCTTCCAGGTTACTGAAAGCACTTCCTTTGAAGCTTCAGCAAACAGCTTTTCAAAATGCATACTTGAAAGCTCAGGAAGGAATGAGAGAAATGGTAATTTTAAGTAACATATATTGGCTGTTATCACACGCTTGCTATGAATATTCCATAAATTACCAAGTTTGGCATAAGAGAGTTTATAATCCAGTAGTTTACTATATAAAACCGCTCTAAAACAACTATGAATTCAATGAAACTCCATTATTTCTAGGTTACAATCAGTCAAATCATAGTAAGTTCTTTTGGTTTAACTTAATTTGTAGTATTTTTATGGAGAAACCCAAAATTTAACTGAGTTTCTCTGGGAGTATAAATGGCTTCCTTATTTTAAAAATCCTTTCATGTGTGATCTGATTAAAAACTAATTATGGGAGCAGGTGACAATTGGAAGAAATGGATTGAGAAAAAGATCAAATTATGGTGTTTCCAGTGAAATGTGATATTTCACATTGCTGTAGAATAGTATGGTAATAATTGTCTTAGGATTCAAATTTTTTTCATATATTTATGCCCTGATTTGTTTCTTACGAGTATTTAAGATAGTTAAATGACTGTCAAATCTGTGATAGCAGGAAATTGAAAAAGACAGTTGAAGGAATGTGACTTTAGAAAAGAATTTCAATAGATTAGAAAGATAAGTGTAAATAACATAAATCTAATAGAGATAATGTATATTACACATTTTAAATCAGCCTGTCATCTGCAAAAAGGGAGAATAACGATCTGACAGCAATTCCTTTAGAAAAAGACCTAAAAAGTTTTACATCTTGAGATTATAGTATGAATCAGCATTGTATTACAGTTATCAAAAAAGGCCAACTCTATCTTATACTGCATTAACAGAAACATATTGTCATGAACAAAGTTGATACAAGAACTTGGATCTTCTATAATTTTTACTTTATTTATTTTTAGATTTTTAATTTTTATGGGTACATAGTAGGTGTGTGTGTGTGTATATATATATATACATTTGTGAGGTACATGAGATGTTTTGATACAAGTACACAATGTGATTATTTCAATGTGATGAAATAATCGCATCATAGAGAATGGGATATCCATCTCCTCAAACAATTATCCTTTGTGTTACAAGCAATCCAGTTACACTGTTTTAGTTATTAAATGTTTCTGTATAGCCAGAATGTTATAGATCTGTGTCTTATAAAAAATGGGTGAAGGAACTGACTTAGTGGAAAGGCCATAATTGTTTTTAAATGTGTCAATGCTTGTGATTTAGTAAAGGTATTAAGTCCTTACTTTTTCTTGTAACAAAAGAACTATGATTAGTGAATAGAAGGTTCTCTAAATGTGAAATAGCTAGTCAAAAATCTGGAGTTCAGTTGGGATTTTATAATTGATCATTAAACATTTACGTTTTACCTTATGCTACTTTTTTAAAATTTCTTTTTAAGTCCCATAGCACTGAGAACCGTGAACATTTGGATGAAATTTATAATAGAAAATCTGTTTTACTGATGTTGATAGCTGTGGTTTTATCCTGTAGCCCTATCTGTGAAAAGCAGGCTTTGTTTGCTCTTTGTAAATCTGTGAAAGAAAACGGATTAGAACCTCACCTTGTGAAAAAGGTATATGTGGATGAATATTTTATTATAAGCTTCCTTGGGTCACTGTGAAATAATTTAAAAAGTTAAAGCTAGATTTTCTAAGTGGCACTTATTTAAGACTAGGAAACAATTTTATTTTTTAGGTTGGGAATATTGGAGAGCAGTTATGTAAAAACTATTCAAATGGTGTATTTATGTGTATGCACTGTCATTTCTCATATTCAGTTTAAGAGCATTTCACAAGGCTTTCATTGAACTAACAAGGGTGAATGACTTGTTCACCAGACAGACCAGGCTTTTGGAAATAGTATTTTTTGAGGGAAACATATGGACCCAAGAGCAGTATAGGTGTTTTGCCTGGTAGATTCTGGGGCAGCACATTGGGGTCTAGCAGGGCCAGAAGTCAAATTTAACAGCTATCAGGCTTTTAATTTCAGTTATTAGGGGAGAAGGACTAGGGACCCGCCTCATAATTATTATATCAGCACAGTATTATAGAATGTTGGCCCCCTTTCTTTTCCATCACCCCAGCATTTATGGTTTAGGAAGTTCCAGGCCTTTCCATTGCAGATTTTTATGTAATAAGTCAATGGTAGGTCAGCGAACTCGTACTCCAGTTAACATTCTACCAGCATAGTTTCTGTGGAGCTTTATAGTAAGCCAACCTGTAATTAGTTAAGCTTTTACCTCTCAGTATGAGATTTGTTTGGTGTTTCTTAAAAGTATACAAATACATTACCTAACAGTTATAAGTGGTATGTATTCTGTGGATTTTTTATTTGGATTTAAGCCTGAGAGGAATGATTTTGCTTTATTTTAAAATTTTTATTTATTTATTTATTTTGAAAGACAGGGTCTCACTCTCACCCAGGCCAGAGTGTGGTGATTCAATCATGGCTCACTGCAGTCTTGACCTCCTGGGCTCAAGCAGTCCTCCCAAGCCACATGAGTAGCTGGGACTGCAGACATGTGCCACCATGCCTGACTAATTTGTTATACAGATGGGTTCTCGCTATGTTGCCCAAGGTGGTCTTGAACTCTTGAGCTTAAGCAACCCTCCCTTCTCAGCCTCCCAAAGCGTTAGGATTACAGGTGTGGACCACCATGCCTGGCCAATAATTTTACTTTAAATCTTCCTTTAAATGTAACCAAATGTTGAAAACTCCCAGCATATTTTTATGTTTTTATTTACTTAACATTTATTAAGGGTTTGCTGTGTGTCAGATGCTTTGCCAGTTGAGTATATTTTCTTCATTATTATCCCCATCTCATAGATGAGGAAATCAAGAAAAGTTAAAAGACTGTTCTTTCTAGGTCTTACTCTAAATAATATTAGCAAGTATTTAAATGATTTATTTTTTTCATTTTTCTTAACAAATTGACTTTCTGGTTTGTGCAGGTTTTAGAGAAAGTTTCTGAAACTTTTGGATATAGGTGTTTAGAAGACTTTATGGCTTCTCATTTGGATTATCTGGTTTTGGAATGGCTAAATCTTCAAGATACTGAATACAGCTTATCTTCTTTTCCTTTTATTTTATTAAACTACACAAATATCGAGGATTTCTATAGGTAAGTTTACATATAACATGTGTGAAATTTGTTTAATTTAAAATTAGTTAACAATGTTTAGCAAGTCCCCATCACCATCACCACACAAACTATACCCATACACATGTGTTTGTGAAGGCCACATAGTATGAGAAGCAGGACAGCTTGTTTTAATAAGAATGTATTTGGTGGCTCATGTCTGTAATCCCAGCACTTTGGGAGGCTGAGGCGGGCGGATCACAAGGTCAGGAGATTGAGACCATCTTGGCCAACATGGTGAAACCCCATCTCTACTACAAAAATATAAAAATTGGTTGGGTGTGGTAATGCACGCCTGTAATCCAAGCTACTCGGGAGGCTGAGGCGTGAGAATCGCTTAAACCTAGAAGGTGGAAGTTGCAGTGAGCCAAGATCGTGCCACTGCACTCCAGCCTGGTGACAGAGCAAGACTCTGTCTCAAAAAAAAAAAGAATATATTGAAGGGAGTCACTGGACTTCAGGTCTGGTCCTGGCTGTGCCAACAACCAGCTATGTGACTTTGGTCAAGCCACATAAAGACCCTCTATGCCCTGGTTTTTTAATCTGTAAAGTAAAGGAGTTACACAAGGAGATTTTTCAGGTCCCTTTCAGCTTTAATGTTTGATCATCTTTCCTTTGGAAAAAATTGAAGATAAATTACTAGTACCTTGTTATTTCTGCCTGGTTTTTCTTTTCTGTTGCTTGATTATAGGCTGTTTAATCATTACTTCTATTAGATTTAGAAACTTAATGTAAAACTTTTATTTTGCTGTCTTTAACTCTGTAGAAGAAAAAATTGAAAATGGAGAGGTTTGAAACAACTAAAAAGTAATATTTAGGTATCAGGATGATGGGAAGGCGTCTCATACTTGTTGAGCATGCTCTGTGCTGTGGACTTTGCTGTGCATTTTACATGTACGATAGTATGTCTCAGATGAGTTTCAGGCTCATCCTAATAGAGCTTTCTAATAGATTATGAGTTGTATGTCGATAGTCTCCTTTAAGAAGGATAGTCCTACAAAAGTAAATTTAGTGGTCCTTACAGTTCATTCATTTTGGCAAGAACAATATAGTCATTTCTTTGTATATGTGAGGGGTTGGTTCCAGGATCCCCCATGTATGCTTAAATCTGTGCATACTCAAGTCCCCAAGTTGGCCCTGCAGAACCCATGTGAAAAGTCAGTCCTCTGTATATGAAGACTTTCACATCCCGTGAATACTGTTTTTCTATCTGCATTTGGTTGAAAAATATGCAAGTATAAGTTCAAACCCATGTTTTTCAAGGGCCAACTGCATTTACATTAGTTTGAATTTATAATTGCTTCTACATTTTATTTTACAATAATTTTATATAAATTATTTATAAATGGATTATACAGAATAAATAAATATAAATTCAAATCTCCATTTTTATTTATTTTTTTTCTTTTTACTTTTTGCTAAGGGTGCTACTGAACAAGGTCCCCATTTTAAAATCACATAATTATGATGATGGTATATTCTAAGCTTTCTAATTTTTTTAATGTGACTATTTGGAATTGACTTAATTTTTCCATTTATAAAATTAAAGAATGTTTAATAATCTAGATAAAATGTGATACTTTAATGCTGATGGTATTAAAACAGTTTATTATTTTGAGAGCTATTTTATAATATTTTACTTGGAAAAGTTATATATAACCTATATTTTAAATTTTTATATTTTTAGATCTTGTTATAAGATTTTGATTCCACATCTGGTGATTAGAAGCCGTTTCGATGAGGTGAAGTGCATTGCTAATCAGATTCAAGAGGACTGGAAAAGTCTTCTAACAGACTGCTTTCCAAAGATTCTTGTAAATATTCTTCCTTATTTTGCCTATGAGGGTACAGGAGACAGTGGGATGGCACAGCAAAGAGAGACTGCTACCAAGGTCTATGATATGCTTAAAAGTGAAAACTTATTGGGAAAACAGGTATGGCTTCAATTTTTATCTACTTTTTATTCCCTGAATGATCTGAGATATCAGCTTTAAATTTTAAGTCTATTTATTCTTTTTTACATATTGAAACTTAGCTTGTTGTAATCATTATCTAGCATAGCCAACCCATGAATTTTTTTGGTTATTTCGTGTTCTCTCCCTCTGATTGGCTTTTAAATAAGTATAAATGCATTAAATTAGAAATAACCCAAAAAATAATTTGAATAATTTTCTTCTGCTGTTTAAAAATTCATTTAAACTACAGTAATACACAAATGCAAGCTGGTTGTTAAAGTCAAGGAATACTAAACAGTGTATAGAAAATCTTCACTCCCTCTTCAGTCTCACCAAGCTTTCCACTTTTCAAGAAAAAGAAGCATCCCTCACTCCTATAGTTCACATACCCTGCTCTTTGTTTTTTTTTTATGACACCTATTATCTTCTAACATATGATACAATTTTCTTTGGTTTTGTTTTTGAGACAGAGTCTCACTCTGTTGCCCACACTGGAGTGCAGTGGTATAATCTCAGCTCACTGAAGCCTCTGCCTCCCAGGTTCAAGCAATTCTCCTGCCTTAGCTACCCAAGTAGCTGGGACTACAAGTGCGCGCCACCACACCCAGCTAATTTTTGTGTTTTTAGTAGAGATGGGTTTTTGCCATGTTGGCCAAGCTGGTCTTGAACTCCTGACCTCAGGTGATCTTCCCACCTCAGCCTCCCAAAGTGCTGCGAGTGCAGGCATGAGCCACCGTGCCCAACCACAATATACTTTTGAATTATGTTAATTATTCATTGGTCTTCTCCACCATAAGTTCTCTCTTTTATTTTTGGCTAATGTATCTCAACCACGTAATATATTTTGGGAATTCATTAAATCTCTGTCAAAAGGAATTGCGTAAGGAAGGATTTAACAAGCTTCGTTTGTTTTATAATAATTTTTACACATTTCAAAATTTTTTGAAGCAACTTATAGTAAAACATACATGTAAATTTTTTTAAGCTAGAAAAGCTGTGGTCACTCCAAATTTATTCATGTACTTATTTATTTTGGATACATGTAAGGGATAACTAACCAAACTTGGTCAATATTAGATAGACTTCAAGAGAGGTTTTTTTTTTTTTTTTTTTAGTTTCCTGGTTATCTATATTGAACTAAGAAATGGGACAGCAAGTTCCTCGGTTGCTTAGGTGAACCCATTCAGAACTGCTTGTAAGTCTGCAGTCTGGAGGGAAATGGTGAGCAGGGGACTGCTTTCCCAAAGACAGCTTGAACAGAATACAGGCACTCCAGAGGTTATGCAATTTGAGAGAGACACTCAGCCTCTAGCCACTCCTGTTCCGTCTCACAGCTTAGTCTTCTGATCATCCTTAATCTTACTATTCTTTTATTAATGTATTCAAACCAAAAGAGCAATTTTTAGAACCTGAATAGGTTTCGGAGAGAAAAGTAATTACATTAGACCTTGACTGAAACACTAGCCTCAGGAATGAAGAGTGGCTAAAATTAAATAATGATTTTTTAGCTTTTTGGTTAAAGATATAAGTTAAATTCTTGGCTGGGTGTGGTGGCTCACACCTGTAATCCCAGCACTTTGGGAGGCCAAGGTGAATGGATCACCTGAGGTCAGGAGTTTGAGACCTGCCTGGCCAACATGGTGAAACCCCATCTCTACTGGGCATGATGGCACATGCCTGTAAGCTCAGCTATCTGGGAAGCTGAGGCAGGAGAACTGCTTGAACCTGGGAGGCAGAGGTTTCAGTGAGCTAGTATCATGACACTGCATTCCGGCCTGGGGGACAGAGTGAGACTTCGTCGTCGCAAAAAAAAAAAAAAGAAAGAAAGAAATTGTATAAAACACACAAAGCAAGGAAAGAATGAAGCAACAAAAGCAGAGATTTCTTGAAAATGAAATTACACTCCACAGGCTAGGAGTGGGCCCTGAGCAAGTGGTTCAAGAGCCTGATTACAGAATTTTCTGGTGTTTAAATACCCTTTAGAGGTTTCCCATTGGTTACTTGATGTACACCCTGTGTGAATGAAGCAGTGGCCTGTGATCAGTCTGATTGGTTGTGGAAGGGTACCAATCAGAGGTACTTTCAGTTTCTCATCTGCAGCAGTAAAAGGGAGGGGGTTGCAAAGGGAGTAGCCTCTGCTCCTTTTGTTACTTGAGCATGGAAAGTTGGGGTTTTCCTTTTGATTTCGTTCTAGGAAGTCAGCCTGGATTGTCCTTAGGTTCCCTGCCTCCAGATCTTATTGCTCTGCCTCATTTACATTAGTTTCTTTCTTGTCACCTTCTAAAATACTTTTTGTTATTACAAAGTATATTTTTGAACTTCCTTATGCATTAAGTAAATTTGCCATTTCCTTTAGATCACTCTAATTCTTTATTTTGGAAAGTTATTAAATTTACCCTGAATACTTAACAATTCTCATTCATTTGACTTACATGTAACATAGCAGACTTATTCTTCATATTTAGAGAATTTATGTCTTTTGTGAAGCAACCTGCCTGTAGTGGGAAGTAGATTCATGAAAAGTCCAAATATGTTGGGGAGGGTTTTATTCTACTATTGATGAAAGGGGATGTGGATTGCAGCTAGCCTTAGAATTTGGGATGGCACTCAGGTAGAAGTCTGGGAAGAAGTTATGCAGGGAACAAAGATGAGATTATTGCCAGTCACTGGGAATTCTTAACAGTAAAGCTCTGTAAGTGAGACAAAATTCCCAAATAAAGTCAAGAGTAAAATGCAGATACAGGAGTAGTTATAGATCAGTGGGAAATTTGAAAAATTACCAGGTCACAAAACTTAATGATAGACTGAATTCTTATTTAAAATGATTCTTTAAAAAGAGTTGGATTAAGGGGGAATTGTTTGGCTTGATTTTCCTACTTTTCCCTCTTAGTCTACAGGTTGGCTGCATAGAAGAAAAATGTAGAGTTAGTTATAATCTTGTAGATCATTTTCTTTTACAGTCATTGAATAATTTTGGAAATAAGGTAATAGCATATGCCTTTTGAGCTGTCTTGAACTTCACAGATATAAAATATTAAATATATTTTAATTTTGTGCCCTTGCAGATTGATCATTTATTCATTAGTAATTTACCAGAAATTGTGGTGGAGTTATTGATGACGTTACATGAGCCAGCAAATTCTGGTGCCAGTCAGAGCACTGACCTCTGTGACTTTTCAGGGTACGTACATTTTAAACTTAGAGAACTAGCTGCAACTTCACAAGTTCTTAAAGAAGTTAATTGGTTGTCACCTTCAATGTCTATTTCAATTTATAGACATCATTTTAAAAAGTTTGTTTCTTTAAAAACAGCCACCTTTGAATTGGAGTAATTATCTATCCTCTTTTGCTATAGCTGTCTCACAGTAACTGCTCTAAGTTGACCACTTTGTTAGCAAACCCGATAACCTTTTCTTTGTCTTTCTGTAATATTTGAACATTGTGCCATCTGCTGTCCCTTGAAATTTTTTTCTTCATGCACATTATTCCTAGCTATCTTCTCTTTATCTATAACTTGCCTTTCTAGATCACCTTTTCTTTTTTTTTGAGTCTCACTCTGTTCCCCAGGCTAGAGTGGAGTGGCATGATCCTGGCTCACTGCAACCTGCCCCTCACAGGCTCAAGTGATCTTTCCTTCTACCTCAGCCTCTCAAGTAGCTGGGATGACAAACGTGCACCACTACACTTGTCTAAATTTTTATATTTTTGGTAGAGAGGGGTTTCACCATGTTGCCCAGGCTGGTCTTGAACTCCTGGCCTCAAGTGATCCGCCTGTGTTGGCCTTCTAAAGTCCTGGGATTACAGGTGTGACCCACCATGCCCGGCCTCACCTTTTCTTTATTGTACTTTATTGTCTGTACAATTTAATTTGGATGTAAATGTCTCTGGGTTGTATATGAACATTAGAGTTATTTTTCCAGCTTGATTGTAAGCTACTATTGTGCCTTACTGTGCTGGGTGTATAAAATAGTAAAATAGTAATAATACCTGAGAAAGTACTTTCATGCTATCTAAATAAGTGTTGATTGCCGTGTCTTAAAATACTACTTTTACAGTACTGACATAGAGCTTTGATTCTAATCTGGAGTAATACTGAGGCTCATATGTTGAACTGCCTTTTAACTTTATAAGATTTTTTAAAGAAAATAATTTTAAGATCCTTTAAGATTATTTAAGTTATTGATGGTGAAAGGTATTTAGATAATCTGATTTATGTATCTGCACTGTGATATGTCATTTTTGATTTTATTAAAACTATAGTTTTTTCGTGGAAAAATAGTTTTTAAATTTGGGGGTTATTATAATCTAAATTTTCATTTTGGAAGTTCACTGGTCTATCAACAAAATATTTGAAGATGATGACTGCATTTTTTTCCCATAACTCTATTAGGGATTTGGATCCTGCTCCTAATCCACCTCATTTTCCATCGCACGTGATTAAAGCAACATTTGCCTATATCAGTAATTGTCATAAAACCAAGTTGAAAAGCATTTTAGAAATTCTTTCCAAAAGCCCTGTAAGTATGCATGCTGACCATAATAATAGAGCGTTCCTTCTTTTTTAGCTAAAAAAACTTTGTAAGTACATCTTAAAGAGGCAAAGTAAACAAATGAAAAATTTATCTAATAATTTAAAAAGAAAAACATGAATTTACAAGTTTAAATCTTGGTATTTTTTTTTTCCCATTTATTTATTTTAGAATCTTGGTATTTTACTTGTCAGCATTAATTGAAATATGTTACATATGAGGCCAGAATCTTGTGACACTTTAGTCATATGTTAGCTCATTTACTTTTTCATAGGAATATACCATTTAATTATAGTTTACTTTCTGAAAATTAAATAAATTGGCAATAGTTTAAGATAGTAATTTTCTTAATGTAACATTTTGCACTTGATATCAAACCCAAATCTAAATTGTTATTTTAAATATAAAATGTGTAGGTATTCAAATATTTGAAGAAAAAGTATAAAATGTATTTATTGTTGTTGAGTAGATGTAATTAAACAAGTTTTTACTAAATCTGTTTATTTTCTAGGATTCCTATCAGAAAATACTTCTTGCCATATGTGAGCAAGCAGCTGAGACAAATAATGTTTATAAGAAGCACAGAATTCTTAAAATATACCACCTGTTTGTTAGTTTATTATTGAAAGATATAAAAAGTGGCTTAGGAGGAGCTTGGGCCTTTGTTCTTCGAGATGTTATTTATACTCTGATTCACTATATTAACCAAAGGTAAATAATACATTTGTACCAATATATAAGCAATCTTTCTATCCTGTTCTTTTTTTTGGTGGGGGGAGACAAGTTCTCACTCTGTCACCTAGGCTATACTGTACTGGCTATCACGGCTCATTGCAGCCTCAGCCTTCTGGGTTCAGATGATCCTTCCTCCTCAGCCTCTCAGCAGGAGCATACCACCATGCCTGACTAATTTTTTGTATTTGTTGTAGAGATAGGGTTTCACCATATTGTCCATTGTGGTCTTGAACTCCTGGGCTCAAGTGAACTGTCAGCCTCAGCCTCCCAATATGCTGGAATTACAGATGTGAGCTACCATGCCCAACTTATTCTGTTCATTTAATTGAAAGTTTATATGCTTCTGAGAAAGAGGTAGATGCCAGAGTGCTGCTTTCTGAATTTTGATTTTTTTTTTTTTTTTTTTT